AAGGGAACATACCTAAACATAATAAAGGCAATATACAACAAGCCAACAGCTAACATCAAACTAAATGGAGAGAAACTCCCAGTGATCCCATTGAAATCAGGAACAAAACAAGGTTGTCCACTCTCTCCATATATATTCAATATAGTTCTTGAGGTCCTATCTAGAACAATATGACACCAAAAGAAGATCAAGGAAATGCAAATTGGAAAAGAAGAAGTCAAACTCTCAGTTTGTTGATGATATGATAGTTTACATAAGCGATCCCAAATATTCTACCAAGGAACTTCTACGACTCATAAACACTTTCAGTAATGTAGCAGGATACAAGATTAACTCAAAAAAATCAGTAGCCTTCCTGTACACAGATGATAAAAGGGCTAGAGAAGAAATCAGAGAATCAACACCCTTCACAATAGCCACAAATAGCATAAAATATCTTGGAGTAACTCTAACCAAACAAGTGGAAGACTTAAAGGACAAGAACTTTAAATCTTTAAAGAAAGGAATTGAAGAAGACACCAGAAAGTGGAAAGAACTCCCATGCTCTTGGTATGCAGAATTAACATAGTAAAAATGGCAATCTTACCAAAAGCAATCTACAGATTCAATGCAATGACCATCAAAATCTTCACAAAATTTTTCACAGACATTAAAAGAATAATACTCAACTTCATATGGAAAAGCAAAAATCCCAGCATAACCAAAACAATCCTGTATAATAAAAGAACTTCTGAAGGCATCTCAATCTCTGACTTCAAACTCTACTACAGAGTTACAGTAGTGAAAACAGCTTGGTATTGACATAAGAACACACAGGAAGACCAATGGAACTGAATAAAAGACCCAGGTATTAATACACACTCCTTTGAATACCTGATTTTTGACAAAGAATCAAAAAATATCAAATGGAAAAAAAAGCTTATTTAACAAATGGTGCTGACATAACTGGATATTAACATGTAGAAGAATGAAAATAGACCCACATCTATCACCATGCACAAAACTCAAGTCCAAATGGATCAAAGATCTCAACATAAAGCTAACCATACTGAACCTTATAGACGAGAAAGTGGGAAGTACACTTGAACACATTGGCACAGGAGACCACTTCCTAAATATAACCACAGCAGCACAGACACTGAGAGAAACAATTAATAAACAGGACCTCCAGAAACTGAAAAGCTTCTGTAAAGCAAAGGACATGGTCAACAAGACAAAACAACAGCCTACAGAATGGGAAAAGATCTTCACTAACCCCATATTGGACAGAGGTCTGATCTCCAAAATATACAAAGAACTCAAGAAAGTGGTCATCAAAAGAACAAATAATAATATAAAAAAAAGTGGAGTACAGACCTAAACATAGAACTCTTAACAGAGGGATCTAAATGGCTGAAAGACACTTAAGGAAATGCTCAACATCCTGAGTCATCAGAGAAATGCAAATCAAAACAACTCTGGGATTCCACCTTACACCTGTAAGAATGGCCAAGATCAAAAACACTAACGACAACTTATGCTGGAGAGGTTGTGGGGTAAAGGGAACACTTCTACATTGCTGGTGGGAATGCAAGCTGGTACAGCCTCTTTGGCTATCAGTATGGCAATTTCTCAGAAAATTAGGAAACAACCTTCCTCAAGACCGAGCTATACCACTTTTATATACCCAAAGGATGCTCAATCATGCCACAAGGACATGTACTCAACTATGTTCATAGCAGCCTTGTTTGTCATAGCCAGAACCTGGAAACAACCTAAATGTCCCTTGACTGAAGAATGGATAAGGAAAGTGTGGTACATTTACACAATGGAGTACTACACAGCAGAAAAAATTAACGACAGCTTGAATTTTGCAGGAAAATGGATGGAGCTAGAAAACATTATTTTGAGTCAGGTAATCAAGACACAGAAAGGCAACTATCACATTTACTCACTCATGGGTGGTTTTTAAACATAAAGCAAAGAAAACCAGCCTACAAACCACAATCCCAGAGAACTTAGACAACAATGAGGGCACAAAGACTTACATAGATCTAATCTACATGGGAAGTAGAAAGTAGAAAAGGCCAAGATCTCCTGAGTAAATTGGGAGCAATGGGACCTTGGGGGAGGGTTGAAGTGTGAGGGAAGAGAAAGGGAAGGGAGCAGAGAAAAATGTAGTGCTCAGTCAAAATCAATTTAAAAAAAGGAAATATTTTTTAAAAAAGGAAATGCATGAGATATATTTTGCTGGTTTTGAGCATTGTATTTCAAGAGCATAGTGATGAGTTAAGGGTATTAAAAGAGAATGATGTTTATAGTTGAAAATATGCACAAAGTGTGTCTTGTTACCAATGATTGAAGTAACTGATGATGTTGAGAGATGGTTGAAGCGATACAGTCACTCGACCATCAGTGATCAGATATTACAAAACAGATTATCTTTCCTTAGTAGGTTGACATCATCCCATTGGATCATATTAGCAATGTGATCATCTGAATCCCATCCTATGTTCTTTGTATACATTATAAAAATTTCAAAAATTAAATAGGAAGATTATTTTCTAGAAACCTTCCTACATTTCTGTTGGAAATTAAAAAAATCTACCATTTCACACAATGAAATATTTGGAATGGTTCTTATTCTGGAAGTTGAATCTATTGTTGCCATGTAATACCAAATAATTATATATTCATACTAGTGTCCATTTGAGTTATGAATATGAAAAATCTAATGAAATACACACTTCTCAGAATATTTTTAAGCATATTTTTAATTTTTGACAGTTTTTGAGGGTATCCTACAGTGTGTTTGGATCATATTTACCCTCTCCCACAGCTCTTCCGAGCTCCATCTGCCCAACTTTGCATTCTGAAAAACCTTCAAGACTAGTTTCTGCTTCTCAGTGGACAATGGCTGACTTACCAGGAGGTGCAATTTTAGAAAGAACTGGCCTGTTTCTCCCTTTCCCAGCAGCTAACAGTTGTCAACACTCCACAGCTCGGGTCGGGGGGGATGGATTTCATACCCAACCCACTTACCTTGCTGAGGTTTGGTCTAGCTTGTGCTTACGTCTGTCTTGTGCATGCGGACCTGGTGTTTCCAGAAGACACTCTTTCCTTGGAGTCATCCACTGAAGTGGTACAGTTATACCATGAAGTTATCTGAGATTTTAGAACATCAGTGTTGACTGTGATTGTGTCGATAGAACTCTTCAGCTAGGGAAACAGAGGAAAAACACTGCTCAAGGCCCAGATCCCAAGTTCTGTGGCTCACATATGGAAGATCTCTCTGTTATTTGGATAGGCCCAGGCCCTGGACTTGTATTTACTAGGAAGGCTTCAGGTAGCACTGTTGTTCACATTCATGTCTTTATGACCCTTTCTCTAACTCTCTAGGTCTATGAAATGCAAGACTTGTGTTACCTTGAGCAGTTGACTGAAATTCCCACTTATGCTACTGCTCAACTAAATCTTATTAGGCAGATGCTATTTTGACTTCCAGTCAAGAATTAGCAAACTTTCTGAGCATCACTTGCATGGACACCGCTCTGTGCTTTTGCCCTCATCCTGAGCACTGTGGTAATTGTGCAATTCTCAAAACTTGTTGTCCTCATTTTACAGAAGAAGAAATTAAAATTAAAATACATGATATGAAAGTTACAGAAAGGTTCCACAGTTCCTTAGCATTGAGATCAGAAAGGAATTCTGCTCTTAATCCCACCAGATTTAAGGTGACAGTAGACTGATAGAAAGAGCTACAGAGCCAGAGAATGTAGATGATCTGCTCAGGAGTGCTTTGGTGAAGAGGTGAGAGTCATGGCTTATGGCTCCAATCCCATTCTTTTCCAATGTAAATGTGCATAGAATGATTTCCTCTGTCACCCCATGTTGTCGGGGTTTCTGTCCTACCAAGTTCCCATAATCATTAAGTCCCAAAGAAATCACACAGAGGTCTACATTAACTATAAACTGATTAGCCCATTACCTCAGGCTTCTTATTAACTCTTATAACTTAGATTAACCTGTTATTCTTGTCTATGTTAGTCTATGTCTTGGTACCTTTTCCAGCAAGGCAGTCACATCTTGCTTCTCCTGTGGCTGCGGTAGAACTGCAGAAGGAACTTCCTTCTCCCCAGAATTCCCCTGTTCTCATTGACCCACCTCTACTTCCTGTTTAGTTGTCCCGCCTATACTTCCTGCCTGGCTACTGACCAATAGCATTTATTTAAAATATAATTGACAAAATATAGACAATTGTTCCCCAGCAACCCTAAGTTCTTATTCTGACATTTGTCTTGCAATTAAAAAGAGTTTATTCAAATGGGTAGCGTTAAAACTAATACAAACAGGCACGTTAAAATTTTGTTTGATGAAATAGCTTGAAAGCATTCACTCATGTTCATTTGCAAACATCTCCCTTCCTGTGTGATACCAAACAGGAAGTCAACTTCTTTTAACACTTGTTGGAATCAGCATTTTTTGTTTGTTCGTTTGTTCATAATATGAGGTTTTTGGGGTTCTGTGGTACGGACATGGTATTTTCACTTGCCTATTATGCATTATACAAATATTTCTGTATTATCCAAGTGAGATTTGTGAAAAGAATGTCCCTGATGTTAAGTGGTGATTCATTCTTTATGATTAAGACAGACAAACAGACCAAACTATTCTGACAACACTGTAACTTTCATTAAACTGAAAAAACAAAAATAAAACAACAATAACAAAAATACTTGATTAATTTCACTTAAGGGGGAATTAAAATTGTGTTGATAAAATAACGACATCAAGTTTTCCTTTACAGAAACTAAATAAAGCAAAAATTTTCTCTGTGATTTTCTAGGATCAATTGTGCTTTTAGCAAAATGCTTACTAAGTTCTTAGAGCTTTGCTTTCCAGACCAAACTTTCTGTTCTGCAGCATGCAGGTCTATGGATCTTGAGAAGGGTGTGCATGACAGTCCACCTAAGTAAGTGCAGAGTTGACTTGTGTCTTTTTCTCTTTTTTCTCTCCACCAGCTCTTCCTCTTTGTCGTCTGGAACTTTGAGCTCTACATGATACCACTGTTGTTATTGTTACTGCTGACTTGGAACTACTTCCTAATAATATCAGGGAAAGATAACAGGCAACGTGATACAGTAAGTCTCTTCATTCTTTGTGTGTTTTATTATTCCTTGTCCCTCTGATGAGATGACATTGAATTTAGTCTTATAAACCAGAGGAAAGTTTTGTAAGCTCAAACCTAAATGGCACTTAACACAATATGAAGCATCCGCCTGCTTCTGGAATGACTCAGTTTGGTAGAAACTAAAGTGGGGAGTATACGAACTGAGCTATGATTTAAAATCATTAACGGCTATTACTCCAAAGCCTTGTTTCTTTTCGTCTCCTCATCATTTTACCTCATGTTGGATCCTGTCCCGAGAGATAAGGTCACACACAGACTTGTTAATGATCAGACCAAGTTACTGTATTCTACTTAAGACAGTTCTCTTTGTAAACTGTCATTGGAGAAAGAGTTGATGGTTCTTAGTCTGCAAAGTCTATTAAAGTGCCTTAAATTAATGACTCTTCACTAACAATAACTACGTGTTTATGAGTCAAGTATGTTATATACTGATGCAAGGGAGAGGACCTCTGACTTCATCCAGGGAATGTTAAGTTAAATCTGTACTCCCTTGGACATTCGGGAAAGTTCTTAGAACATATGAGGCAAGGAGCTGGAGCTCAGCTGACAAGGGCCTTGTGCTTTGTCCGTGGGTCAGGCCTGCCCCTCCTGTGTTGTTTCAGTCACGGTAGTCCTAGTGAACATACCAGAGATTATTCCACATGTGACTGAAGGGATACAGCATCTTCTCCAAGCTCAACATGTGTAATTGTGTGACCTGATGGGAAACGGTTGAAAAGAACTAAAAAGTAAATGAGAATATACTCTTCAGGTGAGTGTTTTATAGACTCCATTTGATTTATAGTCAGGAATATTTTTAGTTATTTATGATATAGCATCAATCACAAATATTTGCCATTACTATGTATGTTCATAACAACAGAATTATTTGATTATCAATTCAAATTACTACAAAACACTTCATTGCAATAGTGGATATCAAATGCACTTACTGACTTACCTGTGGCAAAACAAACAAGCAAAAAACAGTTTCTTTGAAATAATTTATACTTGAAATGGCAACATAAACAAATTATAGTTCTTCAAAATAATTTTCTTATTGTTAAAGTAAATGATAAATACTAATATACAACCATCAACTACATGATAAAGTTGTTTACCTTCTAACGTGTAGCTGTCTCTCTTACAAGATTAGACTAAGTTTAAAGAAACAGATTCTCTGCTGACCTTTGCATTTATGGCTGTTTTAGCATATATTTTATAGATTAGAAGTGTTCCAATTGTTTGCATGTTGCACACATGTTGGCTATGCAGATATAGACTCTGTGCCTGTGTTTCTGGGGGCCAGAGGAGAGTGCCAGATGTCTTGCTCTATTACTCATGCCTATTGCTTTGAGACATGGTCCATCACTAAACCAGAAGCTCACCATTTAACCTAGAGTTTCTGGAAAGGGGAGCCCTCAGCATCCACCTGTCTCCATGGGGTTGCAGGCTAGTTTCTGGAAGGGGGAGCCCTCAGCATTCACCTGTCTCCAGGGTATTCCAGGCTAGAGTTTCTGGAAGAGGGGAGCCCTTAGCATCCACCTGTCTCCGTGGGGTCCCAGGCACACCCAGCTGTGCCCTGAGGTACTGGAGATTTAGAGATAGGTCCCCATGTTACAGAGCAAATGTTCTTACCACCTGAGCCATCTTCCTAAGCCCTAAAATATTTTATATTGTAAACTCTATCAAGCAAAATAAATACAAGATTGCTAATCGAGGTTTTAGTGGTTAATCAGTATCAATAGACAAGAAGTTATTTTTATTGCTAAGGATATATAGTTAAATTGCATGCTAAGGGACAGGCCCAAACTGCTGTAAAAATTGATGTCTTGGGGACTAATAGGTAATTTTTTCTTCAATTAATCCAGAATTTTTCTTTAAAAAGATAGAGCTGTCTCCGACAATTACTTTTTTGTCCTATTTATCTCGGGGAGATGCTGAAAGAGAAGAATATCTACTTTTCAGAGAGCTATCTTGAGACATATTTGCAAACAAGATTATTTGCAAATAAGAAAAGTAGTAATTTAGTTTAGTTTCTAAGTCCTATGGGATTTATCTTGAAGAATTAGGCATTGGTTTGAGAATTCTTAATAAAAAAAATTCTTAAGCTGTAAAATCCATTATTTTTTCTAGAACATGCCTGCCTTGTGTGGAAAGTTCACTGCTAGGAGGAAATTTGTAATATATAATTTATCTTTGTATTTAAAATTATCTGAAACTTTTATAAGTTTATAGAACTATCACATAACATAATTTAAACTGCATAATATACATTTCAAACTGCCCTTTGTCTCTTACAAAATACGACAGTGAAGCAGACCCTTTCCAGGCTTCCTTTCCAGCATGTCTGTCCTTACAGTCTTTCTCTTTGAGCCTGGACAACGTTTTATCTTCCAGCACAGCCCCTGTCAGACATTCTATAGCTTAAACCACTTGAAATGTCAACTGTATTCCATAACGCCCAGTAATTGCCTTTTATTTGCCCAAAGCACATATATCCACATATTCTGCTCTTCCCAGGGACTAGAGGAGCAATCTCAATGTTTCTTTCAACTTCTCATTCACTGGCTCAGTTGAGACCTTACATAACTCTTAAATCCAGTATGTCTAATTCTGTGTTTTCTGGCATATCCAGCTGTGCGTTTTAACTGCTTTCTCCTTTTGAAAGAAAACCCAAATTATACTTCGTTGGTGACAAGTTTTGTGTCTGTGTATGTGAGTGTGTGTGTGTGTGTGTGTGTGTGTGTGTGTGTGAATGTGTGTCTGAGTATCTTCAAAACCTTGCTGAGGCTTTCAGCATGTATACAAAGCACCCAGGACCTCTGGGGTGAATTAGTCACACTGTTGACTGACCTCAAACCAGGAAACTTCCTGAAGAAGTTGTAGGAAGAGGGAGAGAGGTGGGGGTGTTTCTGCCATAAGGGGAAACCTTAGAAAATTAATTGGGATGAACACTAAAGGAAAAACAAATCAAAATGACTTTTAGATCTACACAGAAAAGAGACAAAAGTTAGCATAATTTCATAGCACACTAAGTACATAGATGGGTGAAAATTCTGTCTTCAACATAGTGACTGAGAGTTGAAATTAATACCCAACCAGGAAAGGGCTTCCTCGTGTGTTTGTTATTTATTAAGCTTTCCAGCCCAAGAACCACCAGGACTAAGCCCTCCCCCCTCTTTTCCAACTAGTGCTTCTAGTTTAAACAGAAGAAGGAGACACTATGATGCTTGGCCAGTACATAGAGATACATTTAATAGGCAGACCCTGTTAAGGGTAGGATGAGCAGACAGCTATTTCTGCGGGTGCCCACGGGAAGAGGTGTGTTAGAAATGGCATCCTTTCATATTTCCCAGTCAGAATTGCGAAAAATAAGAAATGCTGGGTCTGAGTCCAGTTATTCTAGGAACGTGATGTGAAAATTAGCAGTACAAGAATTGTTCGCTTTTCCAAAGGAGCCTGTTTAACATGTGTGTTTTTCAGGAATGTCCCTGGCATGAAAGGATAAAAAGATAGAAATGCCAACCTTTCTCAGTTTGAGCCGTCAGGAAAATTCCTCCTTCACTGCCTATTGGGCTGGTACCACCTAGCCAAATCACAGGCACTGCCCACAAAACTGTCATCAGTTGAAGAGCTGAGACCAGCAATACTCTTTATTTGTGATTTTAAAATTACTGAGCTCTTGTTTGCATCTCAAGGGCTATGCGAAACACTTTATAGGCATTGTCTTACTGAGTCATCTCTTTGGAAAACAAGCTGATTGGGTTGGGTCCTCCTAAATTCTCCAATCCCGTACTTTCATATGGAACAATTAAGGAAAAATATCCCTGTGGAATTAACTGAGTTGCAGGAACTCGCCCTTAGGAAAAGGGACCAGGCCTCAGAAAATGAAGGGAATGAGTGGACCATGGAATCAGAAGTCTACTGCATGCTCTGTGATATCATAATGTCTACTTTACCCATAGGGAAACAGCTAAATAACTTACACAAAGGCACACACCATTTGTGTTCTTAACCACAGTCATGCTTCTTTATTCAGCTCGATTTTGGTACATCCCACTTCTCCCTCTGCAGATTTAATCCCATGAGTTACAGCAAAGACAGTAGCACTAATTCTACCCTCAAGCATACACCTTGACAGACATTCATTGACGTCCTCCCCACATCTGACTGTTAACCCAGAGAAACGGAGCAGAGATTCGTTAAGTAATTTCGATGCATCAGTTATCTTGCTAGTCTTTTGGAGACATCACTTCTTTTCATTCTTTACAATAATTATATCAAGGAAATTGTTCTAAATGCCTTTATCTCTAATTTATAAATGAGGAAATTGAAATGCAACATGAACAATGATCTCCACAGTACAGTCCATGTGAAGTGAAACCAAGTCAACTATTTTCTGAAGCCTTGAGCTGGTTTTCATATTGTGCTTTTGGGCGTATCTTTCCTGGGGAATCTCTGGTTATCCAGTGCAGTCCACAGAACCCCAGAAGCCCAGACTCCTTCTCACAGGCTTCTCAGTGACTTTCCAAGGAATGACACCAGACATCTGCTCCAGTCCAGGTGCTGCTATCCATTCTGGAAGTGCCTGTGGCCTGTGGAGTGACTTTCCACTCCCCAGGCAAGCATGGGAGGAGTAACACAAAGCTGAATATCCTCTACAGTTGTGAGGAAAGTCTTGGAAATTTTTGGCATACAAACATCCTTCAAGCAGGATTTTTTAATTATACCTTAAAAGAACATTCATCTCCACTGTCATGATATGCCTCCTACACAGCAGTCTCGGTTGCTAATCAATGATGGCATGAAACAGACTGAAGAGTGAGGCAGATCAATGTAATCACTCTGACTCATGGGATGACTATGACACAAATGGAGACAAAGTCTGCCTGGTTAAAACGGGAGTAAATACTGGAATGCTCAGTTAGTTCCTCCCGATGACAAAGCTATAGACCTTCTTCTCCCTTC